GTCACTAGGTTGCCTCCCTCATTCAGTAAGGGGCCCACACTTTCCTTGACTTTCTTCTTGTTGCTAACATACCTGAAGAAACCCTTCTTGTTACTCTTAACATCTCTTGCTAGCTGCAACTCCAAGTGTGATTTGGCCTTCCTGATTTCACTCCTGCATGCCTGAGCAATATTTTTATACTCCTCCCTGGTCATTTGTCCAATCTTCCACTTCTTGTAAGCTTCTTTTTTGTGTTTAAGATCAGCAAGGATTTCACTGTTAAGCCAAGCTGGTCGCCTGCCATATTTACTGTTCTTTCTACACATTGGGATGTTTTTTTCCTGCGACCTCAATAAGGATTCTTTAAAATACAGCCAGCTCTCCTGGACTCCTTTCCCCCTCATGTTATTCTCCCGGGGATCCTGCCCATCTGTTCCCTGAGGGAGTCAAAGTCTGCTTTTCTGAAGTCCAAGGTCCGTATTCTGCTGCTCTCCTTTCTTCCTTGTGTCAGGATCCTGAACTCGACCATCTCATGGTCACTGCCTCCCAGGTTCCCATCCACTTTTGCTTCCCCTACTAATTCTTCCCGGTTTGTGAGCAGCAGGTCTAGAAGAGCTCTGCCCCTAGTTGGTTCCTTCAGCACTTGCACCAGGAAATTGTCCCCTACACTTGCCAAAAACTTTCTGGATTGTCTGTGCACCACTGTATTGCTCTCCCAGTAGATATCAGGGTGATTAAAGTCTCCCATGAGAACCAGAGCCTGCGATCTAGTAACTTCTGCTAGTTGCGGGAAGAAAGCCTCGTCCACCTCATCCCCCTGGTCTGGTGGTCTATAGCAGACTCCCACCACAACATCACCCTTGTTGCTCACACTTCTAAACTTAATCCAGAGACTCTCAGGTTTTTCTGTAGTTTCATACCAGAGCTCTGAGCAGTCATACTCCTCTCTTACATACAACGCAACTCCCCCACCTTTTCTGCCCTGCCTGTCCTTCCTGAACAGTTTATATCCATCCATGACAGTACTCCAGTCATGTGAGTTATCCCAATAAGTCTCTGTTATTCCAGTGACATCATAGTTCCTTGACTGTGCCAGGACTTCCAGTTCTCCCTGCTTGTTTCCCAGGCTTCTTGCATTTATGTATAGGCACTTTAGATAACTCGCTGATTGTCCCGCTTTCTCAGCCTGAGACAGGAGTCCTCCCCTCTTGTACTCTCCTGCTCGTGCTTCCTCCCGGTATCCCATTTCCCCACTTATCTCAGGGCTTTGGTCTCCTTCCCCCGGTGAACCTAGTTTAAAGCCCTCCTCACTAGGTTAGCCAGCCTGCCTGCGAAGATGCTCTTCCCTTTCTTCGTTAGGTGGAGCCCGTCTCTGCCTAGCACTCCTCCTTCTTGGAACACCATCCCGTGGTCGAAGAATCCAAAGCCTTCTCTCCGACACCACCTGCGTAGCCATTCGTTGACTTCCACAATTCGACGGTCTCTACCCAGGCCTTTTCTCTGCACAGGGAGGATGGACGAGAACACCACTTGTGCCTCAAACTCCTTTATCCTTCTTCCCAGAGCCACGTAGTCTGCAGTGATCCGCTCAAGGTCATTCTTGGCAGTATCATTGGTGCCCACGTGGAGAAGCAGGAAGGGGTAGCGATCCGAGGGCTTGATGAGTCTCGGCAGTCTCTCCGTCTCTCTGTGCACTGAGTTTGCTGGGTCTCAGTCCAGTACCTAGCTGTCATGGAAACCAGCACCACCCGCTGGCACTAACTGGTGTCCCTGTTGACAGCCGGCACAGAGAGGCCAAGGACTAAGCAGAATGAACTCCTCTCCCTTCCTATGAGATGGTCGCTACTGGGACAGGGTGAAGCAGCAGCTGTTACCCATTAGGAGATAGACAGACAGGCCTAGAGACTGACGCTCTCTGTCTAGGTTCATAGGGCCACATTTCCAAGGTACTTAGGTGCCTAAAGATGCAGAGAGGAGCCTAGCAGGATGTTCAATTTGCCTCAGGCACCTACCTGCGTCTCTAGGGGCCTAAATCCCTTAAAAAATCTGGCCCCATCGATTTTAAGGCCAGAAGGGACTGTAATGAGGTTCTGATGCTGGTGCCCATCACCCTGGTATCTCAGCACCTTTCAAAAGCAGGGCGTGTCCATCCAGCACCTTTTGCAAGCAGTAAAGTCAATGCATTTATGTTACATTAAATACGTGAAGGGAATATCATGTTTTGCATATGACTCCAGGAATGGCCCAGAAGTCTGCAGCAGCGCTGCTGTGCAATGCAATTTGGACCAATGCTAGGATACCGTAGGAACTTAGTTTTTAAATTTAAAAAAAAATTAGCTTCTTTATAAACTGCCCCATTTTAGCTCTAGGAGATGATGCCAAGTAACTAATGAGCCGTGACCTTTTGTCCTTTCCTGGTGAAGCTACGCACAGAATTGAATTCTACCTAGAGTTACAAAAACTCAAACGTATTTCCTGAAGGAATTAGGCGTCCTCTTCTGCTTCATTCACAGAAATAAGCAAAACCCTCAGTAAATTTAATAAGAATGATACCGTGGCTTGACTGGCTGGGGTGTAAATGGGCCTTGCCCTCTAGAGGTTGGAATCTGAACACTGCCAAGTAAATAACATGGGTGTCTAAATCTGCTCCGTTTCCTGCATGCTGGGTGCAGCCCTCTGGCTAACCCCCCGCCTCGTTGGGGGCCCCTCAACTGTCAGTGTGGGCTGGGGGGAGGCCATGATGGGGAAACACATACCTCCGTACTGGTTGCCGTAGTATCCTGAGCTGACGTACATGGTCTGGTGGGAATCCAAGGGCACTGTCTGGTAATAGTCGTCATATGGGTCGTACATATGGACCTACACGGGGAGGGTGACACAGATGTTAGGCCCAACGGTGATGCCTTGCCGCCTGCTCCCAAATCTGCCAAGCTCACTGCCCACATCAAGGTTCCTTTGATCTCTCCATTCCCCCCACAAGCTCCCTTCGATCCCACCTCCTCCCTCATGCCAGGGGCTGTGACGCCCCATTCCTCTCTCCTCCATACCAGGGTCCCCCATTCCCCGCCCAGTGCCAGGGGCCCTGATTCCCCCTTCCCCCCACCATTCTGATTTCTTTTCCTTCTGTCTGGTAGATAAGTCATTCAGGGTGCCAACATTTTTAACCCTATTGGGATGACGGGCAAAGCTGAGCTGAGGGGTGGGCTGGTGTCTTGTTATGCTGGAAGATGTTAACAGTGCCATCAACTGGTTCTTTGCTTTCTAGCCAATTACAGACCTGGCTGAAGCTGCTAGCTCTGCTAACCAGATGCCAGGGGCTCTGTGTGTCCCCCATTTCTTTCATCCGGTTTTTCCATTTTGCCTCAAACTCAACAGGGTTCTGCTCTCTGAGGCCTAGCACGTTCCCTGAAATTTTACAACTGATTGGCTGTAGCATTCAAAAGTTATTGTGTTACGTTCAAACAGCGGCTGAATGTAGAATCGCGCTTCACTTGGCCAATTATGGTAAGGCCGAGACGCCCCAGCTGAGATCAAGGCCCCATTATGCCAGGCACTGAGGGTACACGTAGTAAGAGACAGTCCTTGCCACAAAAAGTTTAGTCTAAATAGACAAAGAGCAGGAGGGGAAACTGAGGCACATAAGAACGGACTTGCCCAAGGTCACTGAGCAGGCTACTGCCAGAGCTGGGCCTAGAACCCAGCTCTCTGGGGAACACACTGACGCTACTGGGAAGAAAGAATTCAGGGGGCAACACAACCCCAGTTCAGGTGGGTGAGTCTCTCTCTCTCTCACGCACACCCACCTTGTGTTTCAAAAGCACACAGCATCCAATCATCAGCCTCAACTGCAGCGTGCGCTTAACAAAATGTCCCCCAGCAACCAGACGTGCAGCAAGAGCGAGCGAACGCTGCTGCCGCAGCCTGGATTTCCTGCTGGTGCTTCTGTGCACTGCCCCTCCGCAGAGCCCATCTCCCCCAATCAGTCCTGGGCATTTGATTTGATTTGTATTGAATTGCTCATTTCTGCGGCTGAAGCCTCGGGAGAGGAATTAATGCAGATTAGCAGCTCTCTGCTCCGTGCCTCCTATTAGAATGTATTCATTTGTACCTCGGAAGTCTGCTCAGGGAGGCTGTTAATGATTTGAGAGCTTAAACTGTTTTTAAATGGATTCCGCTCTCCTTGAGACTGATTTACAGACGTCCCGCAGCAGGGCCCAGAGATCCGAGGGTGTGTCTACGCTGCAAGCCGGAGGCTTGATGTACCCAGGCTGCCAGGTGGGCAAGACTAGCCCGTGCAGCTGTCCCTGCTGCCAAGGCTTCCCTGCTAGTATTACTCGAGCTGGCTTTGATCTGACTTGATTAAAACGAGCTCAGTTATCTCTACACATGGTGCAGTGCAGCTATACCCTCAGGCTGGAGCCAATGGTGAAATTCCCCATTCACACGGGCAGGATCAGGCCCCAAAACAGTCAGTGGGTGAAGAGGGCACACTGGGAACTCTGTAGTCTGAAAGGGCACACCCCCCACTAACAAATCACAGGTGCCAGGAACGGTCGTGCCCCATGTTACTGATACAACAACAAGCCGCAGCAAAGCATACAGCACTAGCTACGGGTGCTATGTGGGGTCCAGTGGACCGAGGATGGAACTGGGAGGCAGGAGCCCTGGGTTTCATTCCTACCTAACCAGCTGCTGTGTACGGAGGGCCAGTGTGGGAGGAAAACTGCTGCTTGAGCAGGGCACGTGTTTGGCCTAAAGGAAGGACAGAAGCTGGAAGTGAGCGAGGTGGCAGCGAAGGGTTAAGAGAGCTATGAAGTCACAGCTTGAGGCTCCGATCTCCATTCCCAATGTGCCAGGGCACCTGGCTACAACCTGGCGCTCTCCAGGGATGATTAAAGCACAATCCAACAGATGAACTCCCGCCTGTGTCCTTGGACTGTCCAAAATCAGGGATGCTGTTAAGGTCCCTGTTGGAACCAGTGCCCTGGCCCAGTTCGACGCATGGCTTAGCCAGGCCTCTAATGGATTAGATTTGGCCATCAGCACAGACAGCCGCTCACCCCAAGGGCTCAGAGCCTGAACGTGACCAGCAGTTTGTGCCGATTTCTCTCACACATGCGGCTCCAGCAGATGGGTTCAGAGAGCAGCCGGATTTGTTCAGAGGTCCTCACAGATAGCGTCACTTCGACCAGCCCTGGTAACGTACTGAGCGTTCCAAGCTATGGGAGGACACAACACGAAAACCTCAGCCAGGCCGAATGCAGACGCGCACGTTCCGGAGCGGAGACATGCCGGGGATCCCTTGGTCCCAGCACTAGCGCATGGAGTACAGCTCGCTTTCCTTTTAGAGCCAGTGCAACAAGCTCTAAAGGGTTAGAGCTGGAGGAAGGGGCTTGATTGACGGCCCTGGAGACGGACTCCTCCCCTTATCCGCACAGGCAGCAGGGGATGCCTCTCCAGCCTGGACCTGCAGGGACCATGCCTAAGAGAGGGCTCAGACTCCGTGGCCCCTTCAGTCCTGGGCCTCTTCCCAAGGCTGCCAGTTAGCACCACTTGTGGGGTGAATTTGGATGGGTGGCAGCTGTCCACCAGGTGCTGGGCTCAGCCCCCCAACCAGTCCACCTACAGCTCTCGGAGCAGTCACCCTGACGCTTAGCCACCGCAGACCTGGGACGGCTGTACACCCAGGCACCCTGGTGCTGAAAGGCCTCCTGACCTCTCTCTCTCTATTGGTATTGCAGAAGCTTCTACAGCTGCCAGCTGAGCTCAGGGCCCCACTGTGCCAGGGGCTGTACATACTCCGAGTGAGAGGCCCTGCCCCAAAGTACAAGCAGTCTAGCCAGAGAAGACAAAGGACACGGAGGGCCAGCCTGGATCAGACCCAGTGGTTATCTGGTCCAGAGGCCGGTCTGTGACAGAGGCCAGTAGCCGATGTCTCAGAAGAGGGTGTGAGGAGATGCGGCTGGCTGCCCCCATGTTTGCTCTCACCCTGGTTTCTAATAACCAGGGCTTGGCTACAATGTTTTCATTATTAATTCAGCAAAGGGTGGGAGACAGGCAGTATTATTATCCCCATTGTACAGATGGCAAGTCTGCAGCAGCCCAGCTGGGCAATGGAGAGACCAAACAACTTGCCCAGGGTCACACAGGGAGGCTGTGGCAGAGCAAAGAGCCCAGAGTCCCCGTCTCGTGCCCTAATTACAAGACTGAACTCCCTCCCCTCCATCCACCCTTCCATTACCAGGTGCTGGAGTGCTCTGCTCAGGCACTGCTGGGTTAGCTGGGCTACCCCGGGAGCAGCACTGCACCTTGATTCAGCCCACTGGCTAGTACCTTTCTTTGTGAAATGCAGGCAGCAATAAAACCCCATCCATGTCAGTGGCACGAGAGCCCAGCGCCTTACGGGGCGCCCTGGGCTGTGGAGCTGATCACCACATCTCTGCCAGCCGCCTCCGGCCACTGACTTTATGGCGCGCTCAGCGGGAGTGAACAAGAGTCCAGAGTGAAACGTGGCCGAGGCGAGAACCCATGCGATGACCCGGCCACCTCCAGACCCCCAGCTGGGGGGAGGCTGAGTGAATAATTCAACCAAGGGAAAATGCAATTAGAAGGCAGAGGTTTGAGACAGGAGGTGAATGGCATCCCCATGGCAACACGTGGCCAGAGCCGTCCCCCAAACCTCAGGCTGGGATGAATCAAAGGGAATCCCTAATTGCCAGCAGGTGCCTCTCTCCCACCCCCCCAACATGCCCTGCCCCATCCCTCCCCATGGGCTAGGCTCAGTGATTCACCGACATGTCTCAAGTGGCACGTACATCTGGGGATGGGTGCCAGTAAAGAATCTCATTGTCTGTGGGTAGCTCTTGCCACAAACTACGGGCTGGTCTCGCTGCCCGGGAGCCATAGGGAGCAGGGAATGGAGAGGAATGAATGTTCTCAGCCCCTACCCTATGGCGGGGGAAGGGTCCCAGAACTTGCTAGCATTGAGCGTGCCAGGGAGGGGCAATACCAGGGCACCTGCGAAAGGGACTAAGTCAGTGCCAGATGGACCAAGGAGGCGGGGACTGTCTCTGACCAAGGGGCTGAAGGCCAGTCTAGCTTCTCACCCCAGGGCAGTGCTGGGGAAACCAGCGTGCCTACTGCCCGTTCTGCCAATGATCCATGTGCAGCAGTGCCTGGCATTAACCATCGGCACGAAACACTCCCCTTGTACACAGCATAGGCCACCACGCGATGCAGGCGCGGCTGACAGATATGCCTTCTCTCCACTTGGGTGTAGGATTGCACAGGCCAAAAGGCCTGGTAGATGCATCACCAGGCACAGGATGGAGCCAGCCGAGGGCTTCAGGCTGGAGCCTGGCCCGGCCTGGGCTCCCTCAGCAACTTTCAAACAGGACTCGCGGCAGAGTGGTGTTAAAAGGCCGAGCTGGGAAATGAAGCCATTCGTGGCCGAGCCTGACAGGGTTCCTGCTGACTGGGGAGACGCCACCAGGCAACTGGTGGAGTTGGCGAGTGGCCACCTAATGGCACTTCCGTGCCCCCATCGAATGGCCTCCTCTCGGGGCGGATATCACAGGGCCCAGCTGGTGAGCTGCAGGAGAGGCAGGCTGCTGGGTGGGTGGCTTTAGCACAAAGGCAGCGGGTCCATCACAGGGCTGGCTGCATTGTTCAGGGGCTGTCCATGTTGCTGCCCCCGCCTGTATGCCAGGCTGCTCTCTCCTCCTACAGCCCATTCATGGTGTCAGTTTAAATCCTCTGCATGTCTCCCCTCAGGAGTGGTGGTGTAGGCAGCTCAGGGCCCCACTGGGGCTGGCTGCTTCCTCCACGGGGCCCAGCGCTGTCCAGCCTGCTCCTGTAAA